AACAACCTTGAGGGGACATTGGACTTCTCCGCAGAGCTCCCTGAAGATCCCCGAGTCCTGGAAATGCCATCATTAATCACCCTTAACCTACACAACCTCATTTTTCTCATAGTAGTATGTGTAAATAAAACAAAAACCTTCCCTGAAGGCAAATATAATGGCTCCCCATTAAAATGAGACCGCTTGGCCTAAACAAATGGTGCACTGGGTAACCATAATCCTGCATGAAATGACAATGATTTTTTTGAAACAGCTGGGGTGCAGTAAGATCATTATTGGGCTGTATTTAATAATTCTAAATGTTAAATGAGTCCAGGCTCCCCTGAAGCCAATTTAAATTGTTTTTGTTTTTGTTTTTGTTTTTTTAAGTCAGGGTTAGAAATAACTGATTTGGGCATATTATACATAGCTTTTGCTAAATAAAAATTTGCCAGTGTCTGGACGCTGGCTAGGCATGTCACTACAATGAAATAGTGCAGAGAGACTGGAGGAAGTGGGAACAAGTGTTGGTGGTGTGAAGAAAATAAATATTGGGGACCCAAATCACTAAGCTAAAGGGAAAAGTCAGGCGGGGAACTGCATAGGGCCAGCCTGCCTCCCATGCTATTCAAAGCCACCCCTCTGTTCACTGAGATAAATGCAGATGCCTCCTTTGGAGAGGCTAATCAGAAACTCAAAAAAATGCAACCATTTGTCTCTTATCTGCCTAGGACCTGCAAGGCCCCCTCTCTGCTTCCAATCTGTTATCCCACCTTCCCAGACCAAACCAATGTTCTTCTTGCGAATGTTGACTGATGTCTCATGTCTCCCTAGAACATAAAACCAAACTGTGGTCTGACCATTTGGGGCACATGTTGTCAGGACCTACTGAGGCTGTGTCACGGTCACATGTCCTCAACCTTGCCAAAATAAACTTTCTAAATTAACAGGCCTGTCTCAGATTTTCTGGGTTCACAGTGGGAAGATGGCAAGTTTGGTTTGTGGAGAGAGCTGGATGTTAGCTGTCCTTGAGAAAGCTGATGAGAATTGGCCTTGGAGGGACGAAGGGAAAACTTCCCCTTTACCCTCTAAAGGTTCACTAAAAAATCAACTCACAAAAGGCAGATGAATTGAAGAAAAGGAACACCAATGTACTAACACACACACAGGAGAGAGTAACATAGTGATTACCCCATGCCTGAGGGGGTACAGAAGCTTGAATACCATCTTGAAGTTACAGAAAGAATGGGGGCTTAGATCACAGCAAGACAGGTTACAATGGCAAAATAGGTTATAAGACGAGAAAGTTTGGCTAGCAAAAAGAGGCCTTAGAGCACTCAGCCATAGCCACACAGAAGAGCCCCAATATCACAGAGCCAGCCAGTGACCTCCCCGGCCCTCTAGAGAAAAAGAAAGTGTTAAATCTGGGATATCCCATTGTTTCCATTTTAGCATGCCACATGAGTTAGATCTTAAAGAATTGGCAGAGTTTTTGCAGGAGATGATGTGAGCTGAGAAAAAGACAAGGAAAGGGACAGAACCAAAAAATCTCGCCTCATTTTCGATGTAGTTTTCCTGTTTGGAGAAAGCACAGAAGTGCGCCTGGAGGATGAATAGTGAAACTTGCCAAAGCTGGAAAGGTAATTCGAACTTATGTCATGACAGTTTTGGGGGTGATTAATAGGGGGCAATTTTAATTCAATTGGCAAAAATAAACTACGCACGTTGCCGATTTCGGTATTTTTGTTTGAATATTATACATACTTATAAAAAATCTTTTAACTTCATAGGAATAATTTTGGTTAAAATTACTATGAATCAGCCAGCCTCCCCATGGGAGCAAAATTCCTTTTTCTTGCTTGGCACTTCAGGTCTTACTACATACATATTGGATATTTCTTGTTAAACAGGGGAGATAGATAGTGACCAGAATAGCTTTTGTTCAAACAGCAGCAGCAGCAATAACAGCAGAAGACATCCATCATGTTTACTGGCAATGTCAACTGTTTGCACTGAGTACAAATGTCCTTTTTTCAAATTGGCCTCATCAGGAAAAAATCTTTTTAGAATTTTAAATTGCCTCCTCTTGCCAAGTATAGAAGTTCTGTCCTTTTCCCAACAAAAATGATTTGTTTTCCTAGATTGCAAAGCATTCTATTATCTGAGGGGGAAAAGAAGTCCTGGGAAGGAACTTAACAAAAACTCTATCAAGCATTAGTGAGAAGAGAATTCCGATAACTGAATTCTGAGACTTTCCGCCTAAAGGACAGCCGTAGAAGAAAAACACCATGGTTTAGTGGTAGGGGGAGGAAGGGCTGAAATGGGAACAGCTAAGTCGTTTTTTCCTAGAGCTTAAAAAATGGTAAATTTCTTAAATATCTAATATTCTCTCTTATTACCTCCTTACTAAATTCAGTGACAAAAGAACTTGGTTATCTGTTATAGCCACATCATGGCTCCAATTGCATAGATTTCCCTGACATTAGAAGCTTCCTCTTCAAAAAGGTGAAATATTTTAGGGGGAAAAAATGTTGATTCTTGCACTCCATTTTCAGAAATTTCCAGGAAAATTAATGAAGCTCTTTTCAACATTTCCAGTGTCTCTGAGATCCTCTGAGTTCAAAAATCTGGAAGCTTTTCTTTCTTTTTTGTTGTTTTTTGGGTGTTTTATTTTTGCAGATATTTTTGCATTAACACAATTAAAAATCAAACCATCTTTATTAATTTCCACGGACATCTTAAAAGTCATGTTCTCTGGGGCAATTCTTTAGAATTTTTTATAATTTCCTCATTTTAAATGCAAGCAATATGAATTGAGCTTATTAACTTTTAAAAATAGAAAAATGTTACTCATGAGTCCCGTTTAAAAAAGAAGAAAATATATATAATGGCAACTAAAGTCTTTGAAAATAATGTACTGTACTTTGTTCTCCCTGGAACATATATAATTTCTTTGAAGTTAAATGCCTAAAGAAACCAACATAGACTAAAAGGAACCCCTAAGGTTTAAATTAATGTTCTTCCACTTGTATCTAAATGCTGACTAGGGAGCCACTGGAACAAAAGAAATGTCTTTTTAAACTGAAATTTTGAAAACAGGAGTCATTAATGGTGACAGTTTTCATTAATGGCTCTTACCGTAGGTTTGCATTTTTAAGATGTTAAGTAGCCTTTAAGACTAAATAATGCAAACTCAGCAGTTATTTAGGTCCACAAGTGAATAAGCTAAACCAATAATTTGGGCTTTTTATTGATCAGCTGATCGTTTCAGTCAGATCGAAGGGAATACTTAGCATGATGTGGCCATCCTCTTACCTCGAGCCTTCCAATCTGGACACCACGGATTTGTAAATGCCTTTACACATTCTATGTGAGAGGACTGAGATACAATTTTAAAGTTCTCTTCTTCTTTTTTTCTTATACCCTAGCTACAAAATGTAGCAAGGACCTCCCAAAAGAGAGAGTGCTTAGTTATCAGGTTCAACTCAGGGAACTTCAAGGAAGTGTCACATCCTAACTAGGGTTAGTTTTTTTATGAATATGTTATCAAGCTGTAATTCCTTTCAGAGCAGGGTCACCTCCTCATGCAGTCTAAGTATTCAAAACCTGTTGATGGAATTGAGTGAACAAATGAATGAATGGATGAACAAATAAACAAATGAATTAATTAATTTTCCCCCGACATCTGTGAATTGCCTTAAGCCTTTGAAGGGGAAAAAATACAAAAGAATAGAAAGACTAAGAAGTCATTACATATTTAAAACTAATTATCTACTTGTCCACATATATTATTTCATTACCTCCCAACTATTGTATCAGGAAATGGGGATTTAGAGGGGTTGTATGACGTTGACCAAAGTCACATAGCTAGTATATGGTGAGGTTGGGTTTTAAGAATTAGCCCAAAGCTAATTCTGACAGGGCACAAGGGAGCTACTGGGAGTCTGAGGTGGGAGGTTTGCTTGAGCCCAGGAGTTCAAGACCAGCCTGGGCACCATAGAGAGACCCTATCTCTTAAAATTTTTTTTTCATTTTATTTTATTTTATTATTATTATTATTATTATTTTGAGACAGGGCCTCTCTGTATTGCCTAGACAAGTCTTAAACTCCTGGGCCCAAGCAATCCTCCTGCCTCAGCCCCTCCAAAGTGCTGGGATTATAGGTGTGAGCCACCCTGCCTAGCCAAAGTTATTTCTTAAATTAGCCAGGGATAATAGTTAATCCTGTAGTCTCAGCTACTCGGAAGGCTCGGCGGGGAAGACCCCTGAGCCCAGGAGTTTGAGGCTGCAGTGAGCTATGATCGCACCAATACTCTCCAACCTGGTTGATAGAGCGAGACCCCATTTCTACACACATGCATGCAAACAGAGAGAGAGAGAGA